TATTTGCACATGGCTAATGTACACTTCTCCAATCTATTAGAAAATGAACAATTCACATGATAAAGCCAGATGCAGAGAGAAAGTGCATATACCAAGTTGCAGCAATAACAATAGCTCAAGTCATTTCAACCAATTTCAATTCGCCCCTCATGAACATGAAAATGAATAAATATGGCCTCAGTCCTTGTTAATAGGATATCTGCCTGAGGAAGGATCACCAGACCGGAAACATTAACTTTGATTTTTTCTTCACAGATGCTGTCAGACGTGCATGAACTTTGCCAGCAACTTCTGTTTTTGTATCTGCATTTGGCATTGGTTCACATTAGTATTGAATCAGGGTAGACACTGGGCCTATAGTTTATTCGTTCTGGTAATCTACCTGTCAAATCTTTTAGCAGACCTCAGCTGTGTAGGACATCAACAAAATATAATCAACCTAACATATTAACTGTTTCTTTCTCCACACCTAATATTTTCATATTTATCTCAGGCATTCTAACATATATTGTAATTTCACCTTATCCAATAGGTAGATCTTTGTTTTCTTGTTTCCTGTCTCATGGAAGTACATAGCCTATCCATGTGATGAAGTGCAAAACCATCCATTAAAGCTTGTGCATATGATGGAAATAACTTTATGCATATCTCAACTGAGATGGATATTCTGGCTGCTGAAAAGATAAGTTTTTTGTGTTTGAGGTACCAAATCTCCAATGTTCCCAATCATTATGAATAACTTTCAATGCCTTATTTCCAGATTTTATATCATCGGATTTTGATTTTAAGCATTGTTCAATGGGCAGTGCCAGGAAAGGGAATATGAGCACAAGACAGGATATTCTAATTGGGGATGAGAGGCATTGGGAAAGAATTCAGTCTTGAAATTGAATTTGAGTCTTTAGCAAGATTAACATCTTGGATTTAAATACTAACTTTAATCCAATTAACATGCCGAGACATAACAGTTGGTGTTGGTTCTGCATAAGAAACAAGGATTTGGTTAGAAATTAGTGTAATGTTAGAATTTGGCATTTTGATATGCTCAACCTAAAAAAAAAAATTATTATCCTCAACAAAATTTCATGTGATTATTGTTTATAAAGGTGACAAATAATGATACATAGTTCAGTTAAGCACTTGTTTAACTAGGCAAATTTCAAAATTAACTTGTTAAAAAACATTATAACAAATTGAATGAAGAACAGATTGCATCCTTCTTTCTAAAAAGCCTTTCATCAAAACGTTAGTGTGAAGAGCTACAGAGAAACTAAACTGTTTTCAAGCCTTTATTATGATATTGTGATGTTTAATATCACACCATTCTTGCTTGCTTCTTCTATTTACAAGCCGGTCAGGTTAGTTTGAACTTTATGCATTGTCTTGTTTAGCTAACATCATGTCTTCTGATGTCATAGACACATGTTACAATCCAATCGATAATAATTATTCCCTAAAAGTAAAGGCCATTTCAAGGCATGCAATTCCACTACACTTCATACCTAAAAATGATGAATTACAGTATTTCCATATTTTGAAACAATAATATGCATATCATTGCCAAAAAATCTTTGAAGCGTAAAGCTGGTTCACTCACATGTTGTGACATTATCTGTATAATTGTATCATCTGGTTTCAATGCAATTATACTAAATGTTTGCACAGCGATCATCACCCTTCAGTTGAGATATTAACGTTAAATATCATTTTCCCCCACCTCCCGTTTCTGAAAGCAGATATTTTACAAAATGAATGACAAATTTTGAAAGGAATTATATCCATATTGTTTCCTCCAGTAAAAATAAACAAGTCTTCTGTGACCCAGGTGTGGTAAATATAGGTTTCAATCTTGTTTTAGCTGTATTATCAAAAACATACTGGATTACATTAGGTGTTCATTTGTGCAAAGGGGCTGAAGCCAAGAACAAGAGAAGTCGGATCCTGGTCAGTTCAACCAGCTAATGTACACCTTCTAGTGGTTGAGTACCAAATAGCATTGACTCTGAAACAAATCATATCAACTATAGTTGGATTGCTAAAACAACACTTTGTGGCAGTCAATTCCTTCATGAAATAAATAGTATTCATACATTAGCAACATAAATATTTGGTAAATATTGAAAAATGCTGTTATACCTTCAAATGTTTTGAAGATATTGAATTTATTGGACAAATAGTGTCCAGACTATTTACATTGAATACAGAAAGACATTTTCTTTTACATATGCTAAAGATTTTCAAATTCAATCTTACAAGTTTGTTTTAATCTACTTGACATCTTAATAATTTTCATTTGACCTCCAAGTGCGGAACAGTATGTAGAAATGGTTGGCTCACAGCACCAGGGTCCTGGGTTGGATTCCAGCCTCGGGTGACTGTCTGTGTGGAGTTTGCAAATTCTCCACGTGTCTGCGTGGGTTTCCTCCAGGTGCTCCGGTTTCCTCTCACAGTCCAAAGATGTGCAGGCTAGGTGGATTGGCCATGCTATATTACCCATAGTATTCAAGGATGAGTGGATGAGGTGGATTATAGGGGGATGGGTCTGGGTGGGACGCTCTGAAGGTCGGTGTGGACTTGTTGGGCCGTAGGCCCTGTTTCCACATTGTAGGGATTCTATGATCTATGAAAATGGTACTGTATAAATGTATGATACATGAAACCACAGTTACATATAGGCAAAAATCTTGTAAGACTTTCCCAAAGCTTAAATGTGAAGAGATATCTTTAAATAAAAATGTATAAACTATCTAAAAGAACTGAAATAATCTTACCCCTTCTGAAACTAATGCAGTAAAAAATAGCCATAGCCATTCATAACAGATAACAGAATTTTCTAGGAAAATCCCAAATTTTCAGGTATTACAACATTGAAGTAATCAAAACTTCCCAAGAAAAGCAATTATTTAATTGAAGGCAGTTCAGAAAAGGTTCATTAGGATGATCCCCAGAATGGAGGGATAGTCTTACAAGCAAAGGTTAAACACGTTGGGACTCTACTCATTGGAGTTTAGAAGAACGAGAGTTGATCTCATTGAAACAGATACGATTCTTAAGGGTCTTTTCAGGGTAAATGTTGAGAGGATGCTTCCTCTCATGGAACCAGAGAGCATAGTCTCAGAATAAAGGGACGCCATTGAAGACTGAGATAAGGAGGAATTTCTTCTCTTAGGAGGGTGGAGTGTCTTTGAAACTTCTTTCCGCAGAGAGCTGTGGGGACAGAGTCCTTGTGTACATTTAAAACTGAGATAGATTCTTATCAGTAGGGGAATCAAAGGTTAGGGAAAAACTGGACATGAGGGCTGTCAGAACACCCATGCTCCTACTGAATAGAGGAGCATGCTTGAGGGGTCAAATGGCCGCCTGCTGTTCCTATTTTTTACAATCTTATGGTCTGAAAGGCCAATGCTGCACAGAACAAAAAACACCTCACTTTTATTTTTATTTATGCCTCCATGGGATGTGGGCATTGTTAAATGATTCCAGCATTTGTTGCCCATCCCTTAAACAGAGTGGCTAGCTAGGCTATTTAAGAGGGCAATTAAAAGACAATCACATTGGTCTGGGTCTAGACTAACATGTAGGCCTAAAACAGGTATGGACAACAGATTTACTAAAGGACGTTAGTGAAGACAATTCATATTTCATGGCCTGGCTTTCAATTCCAGCTTTATTAATGGAATTTAAACTCCACAAGTTAGCATGGCAGAATTTTAATCCATGTCCTCAGAATGTTAACCTGCACCACGGATTACTAGTGCGGTGACCACTGTCCCAATGTTTCAATGTTTTGTTTTTGACCAGCCTCCCTTCTTAAATAATCACCCTACAAATTGTGTCCTCAAAAATTACGTTGCCCATATCTTAACTTGTACCAAATCTGTCACCAATTATCCTTGTTTCCATTGTACTTCACTAACTTCAGTCTGACAATGGAGGAATTTTAAAAATCCTCATCCCGGTTTTCAAATCCTTCCATGGCCTTGCCTCCTCCAGTCCTACTAGCCTTTGACATCTGTACTATCCTAATTCTAGTCTTTTGAGCATCCCAGATTATAATCCATTCCTCATTGCTGCCTGTGCTTTTCACTGTCTTGGTCAGAAGCTATGGAATTTCCCCCTTAACCATACCACCTCTCTTCTTTGTTCACAGCCTTCAACATGTATCTAGATGTCTCCTCTTGTGGTACTTCGAAATTGCTTTCTAGGTAATGTGAGACATTTCACTACATTAGATATGCTATGTGTTGTCAATGATAAAAATAATCACTTCTACAATTTAAATCCAAAAGCACTAAAAGGTCTTGGAAAGTGAAAGAAAAGTATTGAAGTGCAGGAGTGAACAGTGGTTGGACAACTGTACCAGTGTCCTTAATGAAATGAGAAGTCTTAACCAAGTTCTATGGAAGTAAAATACTGCAGATACTGGAAATGTGAAAAAAATGCTGGAAATACTCAGCTGGTCAGGCAGCAACTGAGATGGAAACATTACATTTGCTTCCTTTCTTTTCCGTTGCTGCCTGACCCAGAGAGTACTTCCTCACTCCTTTTAGGTATTTTCTAAGCAATCTGTTCAGAGTTGTTATTACACAATTCTAAAATAGGTGGGACTTGAACCCAGGCTTCCTGGCTCAGAGGTAGGGATACTACTACTATTCCACAACAACCCGAGCATTGTGTTTTTATTCCAATCTTGTTTCACGTTTGTAGGCTCCTAATACCAATGATAAAATTTCAACAATCCTAAAGGTCATAAACCACTAGAAGCAATTTAAAAAATATTCACATTAGTACACAGTGCTCATCTGAAGTTGTGCCTAACAAATTTTGAAACAGGGTTGAAGGATCTTCTAACGGTCTGCAACTTAAATGCTTAGCTTTTGACATCAGATAGCATTTGCATTCACTACCATGGATGAATTTATACTCACATCATTTACACTCTTACAAATGAAAAATGATTTTGCTATCTTTATTTTGCCTAATTCAGAATTATGATGATGACTTGATTCTGTTGAAATATTGGAACATATAGAAAAGGTACAGACTAGCATCGTCACAATTGTGTTTAAAAGACAGACTACACTCAAAGAACACCACATTTTGAGGTTAGTAAATATTTAATTTTTTTAGTACAATATTTAAAAAGGAGCAACACTCTGGTGTAAAAGTGGAAGAATCCTCCCAGAAAGTTATTCCTTAAAAATAGTGTTACTACAGATAATTTTAAATATGTGCGATACAGCAACTTTGTGGGGGAAAAATCCATCACAGTGTCAAAATTCTGAGCAGTTTTATTTACACAGTGGTTTTGTGGGTGAGTATTCCAGCGTTAGTTAACCAACTGGGCTCACTGTAAGCTTTCCAGCAACCACAATTTAAACAACCATTTCACAGCTTAACTGCAATATTTGATGTTACGAAATCCACAGACACAAGCAGCACCTCAATCACTGCAATATTTGTGGCTTTTGAAGATTTTTGCAAATTAGCTAATTCATAAAAACAGACTTGGAAATTCACACACGACTGAAATGTAAGTAGACATCAATATATTTGTGATCAAATTATAAAAAAAAAATCAATATTAAAAGTGTCTAAAAAATTCCCTTTTCCTTAATTTCTTCTCTTTTATCCTTCGAGTCAATCATTGATGTACCCGATTAATTAAAGTACTGCAGAATTGGTGTTTAGTTTAGCTGCAACTATGAAATTCTGGGACACTTCACTTCCAGGAGCAATGAACTACAGAGGTTAGAAATCAGTTACATCTAGGAGATGATCTGGATTCATTTATTAGATTGTGACACCTAATTATCTACATTCTGATTGGCAGAAAACCAAAATGTAAACTTTGAAACCAATTTACAGTAAAAGTGATAATGCCACACCACTTAGCATTGAAGCAAACAAAAACTACTCTTTCTAAAGGAAATACTTATGTCCTGCGATTGTACACAATTGAACCTCCCCATCTTGGATATGCACTCATTTGAGGTGATAAAAGGTTGGTGGTCAAGCAATTTAGCAGGTACTATGGCATCAATATTTGCATCTTTGAGATGATTTGTTTACCTCTTCTCACACAAGCAATTTTCACTGAAGAAGTGAAACACCAACAGCTTTGGAGGTTTTTCACCACTCTGTTGATATGAGTGACTTACTGAGTTTAGGAAAGAATCAGCACTATCGATCAGATATGATGGCTGGTAGTAAAGCTCATTTAGGTTTAAATGCAAAAGTACAGCTATCTAAACAGTATTGAGATTACATAGTTTATAGCACTAGCCTAGAAATTCAATAGGTGTAAAATGTGTACCTAATAGTTGAAACTAGCAGGTGATAAGCATACATCTTCCTCTGCTAAAATTGCACCACACACACGAGTTAGGACTGGTCAGTATGCATTCAGAGTAAGTGCATGCAACTGATGTTAATCCCACAGGTGTGTGCTGGAAACAGTATTTCAGGGCCTTTAACAAGTACACCACCAACCCTTAAAGAGAATGACTGGAAGCTGTGACCCTGCAGTATGTCATCTTTAAAACAGCAACATTACAGGCCGTTGCTGACTGTTGGTCATGCCAACTCTCACTTTCCCATGTTTTCTTGCTTTCTTAGAGAGCCTCTGGGGCCATAACTAGCACTCACATGCAGCAGTACCATCCTAATGAGGGCAGTGAATTAATTTACTATAGGCCTACCAAAGCCTTCACTGTGTTGTCATCCCCAATATGGTTGTGATTCAAGTTCTAGGCTGTTTTGTCTCAGCGATGAAGAGGATTTCCCTTGGGGGTATGTTTTCTTCTGACGCAAATTACATAACATGATAAAGTAGTACGACGAAAGAAAGTGCATCCTAGAAACAGTTCCTAGTGAAGCAGAAAGCCACACTGGAAGGGAGTGAAGGAGGAGAAGTTGTTTTGCTTTGCTGAAGGCAAATGGAGCTCAAATCCAGACTTAAATGTGCAGACTTGCTTTTTAATCGCTCCTTCAGTTGTTGTCAAATCTATTCTATAGTCAGCCAGTAACTGGTTTGATTCAGGGCAGGGCAGTGAAAAAGGATGAATTAGGCAAATAATCTCACCACAACCTGAAAGCAGTCTAATCCTGGCTTGCATCATGGCTAAGTCACAAGCCCATAAAACTTCTCCAATTGAAAGTCAAACTTGAGCTACTCGCATTAGTCATATATGAACAGGTGAATTATGTTCAATCAGTTTCACAAACATTACTTAAAGTCAGTTTCAGCCAACATACCACAATCTGATCCAAACAGTGCACTATGGTGTCAAATATACCATCTCAGGTTCATACAAAGACAAGCAATGGGCAGTGTACACAAAAAATAGAAACGTAACATTTTGGTCCAGTTAACTTAATTTTCAGATGCAAATCTGATTCCATTATTTTAAAATGATAAGAGAATATGTATCATCATCCCAGAATGCCAATGCTACTTATTAAAAAAAAACACATCCCCTTGGATGTTCTATTAAAAACACACGATGTAAAATATATTTCATCATACACAAATAAGAACCAAATATCACATATTGAAGAGTTGAGAATCATTGTTCATTAAGACTTGGAAATAAAGATGAGATGTATTAAAGCCCTAGGATTTCAGATAGGTTATGAATAGACCTCACCTCCAAACACTATGTTAGGTATCTGGAACGCTAAGGTGCTGACATAGTTGATGTGGAAGGATTCTTCTATGAAAAGAATGGTAATTAAAACTGTTTTTTCCTTCTGCACTCCCAAAACATTGTTATATTCAATGAATGAATGATAAACTTACAGTTGTAAACTAAGGCACCCTCAATGGTTCAGAAAGTAATTGCACTAAAGTATATTGATCCATATTGAACAGAAATTAGCAGACAGGCTTAGACTCAAATATACTCTTCTGATATTTTGAGGATGAATCCCCTTAATGTCCAAAGCCAAAAACAGTGACAATAAGGGGAGAGGTGCACTTGATCCGAAGCCTCCATTATCTGAAAAAAAAAGGCATGTAACAATAATGTGAGGAAAACTCTCACTGTGATCGTTTCCTCCCTCTGTGGAATATGCATGGTCACAAGAGAACGTTAATGGCACTGGCATCAAACTTCATCTCCACTGCCATAGGTAAGCTAGACTTGCATCAAATTGACATTTCAGATTTCTGAAACTAAAGATCAATAGAAAGATAATCTACAATGGAGTTAAGGCCAATTAATACACAACTTTTGACAAGCATTTCAGCTCTACTTATAAAAGGTTTTCATGAAACAAAAATCAACATTATAACAAATCAAAGAAAATTAACCTTGAAAGCACTTTTTTTCTAGTCAGTCAGTTGCCTTCATGTTCCATGATAATCCAACTGTTGATGATCATCAGTAGATAAAAAGTATTTTAAAATGTAAATACTGTTCACACCTAACCATCTGATTATAATGTTAATCTCTATAGGCAGCCTGGTGTCCAAGAGGTCTGTCATCATAGGAGCTATATCTTTTCACATGTATTCGACGCACACGATCTCTAACTTCCAGTGCCTCTTCATCTTCACTGTGTGATCCCTGACCAGAGGTTCGACTAGTAGCTTCCAACAACAAATTATCAGGTACACGTGGAGTTTCATAAAGCAAGACGTTTAATGTTTCTTCATAAATTCGTGCTTCTGGAAATTCAACCTATATAATTAAAAGAAAATGTAAACAATTAAAATTGCAATGTTACCATGTGGTGAATCCGGCATATTGTCAACGTGTGTAATTTTCCTTTCATGCTTATAATTAAACAAGGTGAAACATTTCAAATAAATCTTTTTTTCAGGAAACTCTGTACAAAAGAGGCTTTCAGCGTGATTTCTTGTCCTGGAGTCGAACCCAGGTTTCAGAGGTGAAAGGAAAGTGCTTGACTGCTTTGAAATACCTAGATCCTATGAACGTATCGATATCATCTTCAAATCCCCAGACAAGGTGATGATTGAAACTTTGCCGCAAACTCTTATAATGCTGCTGGCTAGGCCAGTCACCTGGAATGTGTCCAAGAATGTCCCAGGATAATTTGCTGCTATCTATGTTTTCTCTTTCTCCTTCCTTTTTCTAGGATTATAGCAGAATGCCAACTCAATGCAAAGTCATCCTTTGATCTCCATCCTGCACAAAATAAAGGACTTGCCAAATTCAGATGGCATTTCAGGGTACCATTGGATATAACTTTGAAATAACTTTGGATCAGGAGATCAGACACAAAGTCAAGTATTACTAAAGGAATTTTACTCATATCAGTTCGTTTATATAGTGGTCACCTTTTACGTACCTTAGTTTGCTTCTTTTCTGTTGCATACACAATGGAAGTACAGCAAACCTCTGCAAGTTTGCGTCCCTGCCCATAAAATGACCAGCAGCAAATCTCATCTCCTAAAACGTCCTTCATAAACAGCACTCTTCCATTAAATCGCAGGGATAACTTGTCGAACAGCTCAATGTTCTTCAACAAATTGTCATCAGAATTGCTGGGACACAGAATGACTTGGATTAAATAGCATTCGCTAGCAATAGTACAGGAACACTGGTGCAGTTGTACGAAGCATTTTGTTACAGTAGGCGTTTCCACATCTTCAAAGGTTTGATTTGACAGTACTATACTTAATTTATGATAACCCAAGCGAGTCTATTTTAGCAGCTGTTTCATACATAATGCTAAACATAATCGCTTATGAATCAGTTTAAGTTTTGAAATTTGGTTTTGTTCAAATTAGGGAATGAAGAAAATGCATAAATTCACTAAGTCCATGATCATAATCTACATAAACTTTTGTGCATGTAGGCTTCAAGACTTTTCCAAACATAGTTGAATACTGGACATGTTCTAATACAACAGGAGGCTGTGCAAGACTTTTATTTTTATTCTTGTGGGTTGCTCAGAGGCATTCCATAGAGCCCCTCGAGACCCATATAAAGTTTTAAAATCAAATTTCAATCAGCTTGGATGCATCTCAAGCTGTGAATATAAACAGATCAGTTCTGATTTAGGATTTACTTACCAATAAGGCAACAGCATTAAGAACAATCCTTCTCAAACCTGCAAGCCCATAAGATTCAAACAGAAAAGAACAAAAAAACCCCATAAATTATTAGGGCTACATGTTTCACATAGCCTAAAGACCATCAGTTGGACATCCAGCAACTAAAGGGAATGACTTATTTCATCCAATCTGCATTTCTTTCACACAAGAAAAATGGGGTATGGAAAAGACCATGACTATTGTGCAGTTTTTTGCAATAGTGCATGTTCTGGTGTCTTTTATCAAGTCAAATTTAAGTTCACTCTTTTTCTAATATTTGCGTCCACATTGGAGAACAATTACTAAATATTTAGCTCTGGAACCAAACATCAAAACCCACTGCCATGTGGCTTAAACTGGTTGGTGAAGCACATTACTGGTATTCACTGGACAGTAGGGTACTAGAGAAACAGGGAGGTAGCTGTCTACTGAAAAACTGTTCTGCTCCCTTTCTAAATTATTAGAACTTTTCAAGCAAGGTAATTCTTGATGAACAGATTAAACCTTATGCCTTGCACAGAATCTCCTTGCTGGTCCCAACTGTCCCCAAAGATCAACTTTTCACTATGCATCCTGAAAACTGCACTCATGTGAGACAGATATGATTCAAAGCAATAATATTTTTTTAAAAAAGTCTCCAAAAACTGGTAAATCAACATAAATTAACATGGCGTAGCCCAATGCAAATTATCGTACCTAGTATAGGAATATTTGTTATTGCTTCTGTTATGTAGCAGCTTCACAACAGGCTGTTGGTAAAGAATAAAGGCAGTTAGCTTTTACTGAATGATATGGAGAATTAAGTGACAAATCTAAGCAAAGATCCTCCATCACAAAAAAAGACAAAAATCTTGTGACCTTTGTACATGTTTCAATTAGTTGTTCTTCCTCCTTAGGAGAGGTGATCATGGGAATTGTACATGCAACTTCACAGCATTCATTCTTTTCCTAAAGAAAAGCAAATTACAAATGCAGAGGATGAAAGAAGTCACTAGTGAACGTAAACAATGTATTTCTTCACACAACTGTATTTTAGAAACAGCAAAAGAGAACGACATGCAATTGCTGTGGACATCACAACTTCACTCAAGGATTAAGAAACTGATAAGGAAATTAATAATAGAACATAAATAAAAAAAAATGGATTATAAAAGCTTCTGCAGATACATAAAAATAAGATGTTTGGCTAAGATGAATGTGGGTCCATTAAATCAGAGTTAGCTGAATTGTTATTGGGAATAAACAAGGCAGAGAGTCTGAATCACTACTGCTTATGTATTTTCAGTGGGGGAGAATTAATGGGTTGACAGTTGACAAGTCCTCAGGACTTGACAGCGTACATCCCAGCATAAACAAAAATGGCTACAGAGACAGTAATCAATTTCCAGAATTCCAGATCCTAGAATGGTTCCTGCAGAGTGGAAGCTTGCAAATGCCACCTTGCTATTTGAGAAAGGAAAAAGGGAAAATATGGAACCAGTCAGCCTTGCATCATTAGTAAGGCAAATACAAGAATCGATCATAAAGGATGCTTAAATTAAAAAATCTGTTTGGGCATAATCAGAATGGATTGGCTAATAGAAAGTAGTATTTGACAAACTTGTTTTTTTTTGAGAACATTGCTAACAAAATTGACAAAGTGCAGTCAATGGATGTTGTATATTTGGATTTTTGGAAAATTTATGATAAGGGCCCTCACAGGAGGTTAGTTAACAAAATTAGAACACATGGTACTGGAGATAATGTAATAGCATGGATTAAGGATTAGCTAACAGAAAACTGTAAGAATAGACTTGTCATTGTCTTGCTGGCACACTATGACTAGCAGAGTCTGGGAAGCATCAGTACTTGGCTCTCAGCTGTTCACCCATATCGATGATTTGGATGTGGAGACCAAACACAATATTTCCAAATTTGCAGATGGTACAAAGCTAAAATATTTTCAGAAAGATTTCGACAGTTTTAATGACAGGGCAAGAACACAGCTGATAGAACATAAGGTGAAAAAATTGAAATGTTATACACTTTTATAGGAAGAACAGATGTGCAGAGTATTTCATGAATAAGAAAGGTTTGGAGGGATATGGGCCAAGCGCAGGCAGTTGGGACTAGTTTAGTTTGGGAACAAGGTTGGCATGGACTGGTTGGACTGAAGGGTCTGTTTCCATGCTTATGACTCTACTTTTTAAATGGTGAGGGATTGGAAAGTGTAGATGTGCAAAGACACTTGGATGTCCTTGTCATTAAGTCACGGATGGCTAATATGCAAATGCAACAAGCTATTAGGAAAAATAATGGAATGTTAGCTTTTATCATAAGACAATTTGAGTACAAGTGTAGAGAAATTTTGCTTCAATTATATAATTCCTTGTTTAGACCACACCTGCAGTACTATGTGCTGCTTTTGTCTTCTTATCACAGGAAAGATTATATCAGTTGTTCAAAGGAAGATTAAGGCTGGCAGGGCTGAGGAGCTGATAAATGTACTGATGCAGAGAATGTATTCATGGCTTTTGAAGGTAGTTTCTGGCAGAGTTAGAACTTTTCTATTCATGATACAACTTTTACCTTGGGTTTAATGCTTGTGCTGCCATTAGGCAGTATGTTAATGAAGATTTCTAGACCACAGCATGTTTACTAAATAGAACAGTGCTCGAATAATACACTTTACACCTATCTTTCACAACCAAAATAACAAACAATTACATTACATTTAGAAAAGCTTATCTGTTGTGCTAAAAAAGAGAGTATCTGCTGCAAGTTACCTGCAAAGCAGTCTGACACACATCCACCAGGCCCTGAATGAGGTAATATTTAGCCTCTGCCAACAGTTCTTTTATTTCCCGCCTACTCTTTGGAAGGATAATTGAGTCATCCCTCAGGTAGTTCAAAACTGTGCCAAAATGTTTGCCACAACGGTCAATAAGGATCCAACCTGCTTGGAAAAATAGCAAATATTCCATTGTAGAGAAGTGTGATTCAAGGCAAAGTTACACGCCACGCAGAACCAAATTCTGCACAAAAGGTAAAACTAAGGATTCTCAGTACCCTACCCCTTTAAATTAGTTAAATTACACAAGATACTGTGGTTAAAAAGACCGTTTGACTCTTCAAATCTCTCCATACAAAATCTGCTTACTCACACATATTGCCCACTTGCCTGGATGAGTGCAGCTCCCGCAACACTCAAGAAGCTCAACACCATCCAGGACATTGCAATCTGCTCGACTGGCAGAACATCCACAAACACTTACTCCGCCACAAATGCATAGTAACAGCCATGTGAACCATCTACAAGATGTGTTGCAGAAATTCTCTGAGCCCCTTAGACAGCACATTCCAAATCTATAAGCAGTACAATCTAGAAGGCAAGGGCAGTAGGTACTTGGGAAATACCAGCAGTTGTGAGATCCCCCTCCAAAGCACTCATCATCTTAACTTGGAGATATATCACTTTTCCTTCAGGGTTGCTGGGTCCAAATTATGGAACTCCCTTGAAGCATTATCAGTCAATTATCAGATGCAATTCAGTGGTTCAAGGAGGCAGCTAACCATCACTTTCTCAAGGGCAAATAGACATGAGCAAAATGTGCCGGCCAAGCCAGGAATGCCCACATCCAATGAATGAAGTTTTAAGAAACACACTATTAATTCCATTTTAATTACAAGATGAAAGATCACTGGATTTCTTCCCACCTCTTAGCAATATGAGTAAACCTTGGGCATATCAAATTTTAGAAACAATATTATACAAATTTCTTTAGTGTCAAGATGATTCCTTGGTTCCACTATCATTTAATTATATTCTATCCATCACAGAGTCAACCTGATTCGGTTAGTAATACTCTTAAATATGAAGGTTGTGGTTTAATCCATATTTCAGAATTTCAGTACAGCAAGGTTGGCATCAACTAAATGTCATCTGGTTCATCTTCTCTCTTCAAAGGCTAGATGTACCATCCTTAGGATCAACCACTGAAGTCAGGTCTCAATGGTTCCGATGAAGATCAAAAGATAATCTAGAATTATTCAAAGAGGAGCAAATATCTCTTCAATACCATAGCCAACAATTCTCTCCCAAACAACAAAAACTGCTGCATGCTAGACATAAGAATATAAAAACTAGGAGGAGTAGACCATACAGATCCTCAAGCCAACGCTGCCATTCAACATAATCCTGGCTAATCCTTATCCCTCAATTTCTCCTTCATGTTTGCTCCCTATATCCCTCAATTCCTTCTGATATCCACAATGCTCCAGGATACACAATCCCAAAGATTTACAACTGTCAGAGTGAAGAAACATCTCCTCTCAATCCTAACGGATCATCCCCTTATCCTGAGACAGTGCCTGTGCTCTAGAACTCCAGTTTGGGGGGAAATCTCTCTCATGTTTGTCCTGTTGCATCCCTTCAGAATCATTTATGTTTCAATGAGATCACCTCTCATTCTTCTAAACGCTAAAGATTATGAGCCCAATATATTCAGCAAATAGCTGAGCAACAAAACTGTGCCCCTCAATATCTGTAGTGTCACATTTTTTTCAATCAAATTGATAGTGATGCAAGGGACAGTAACTTAAGAAATCTGCAGCGTAGTGACAGTTAAACTGTAAAATCTATACAATTAAGTTATTGTTTCATCACATTAAACATAATAACATGCATCTTTAAGAGACATTTTGATAGAAGTTACTTTTGTTCCATGAAGCCCATGAGAACTTTGCTAGCTGGTTAACACTAACAAATAGTTGGTATTAAAAGGAGACTGGATGCAGATCTAGTTTTTAAAGTGAAAGAATTGACGATGTAGACAGTGAGAGGCAGTCTGTAAAATATTAAATAATATTATAATCTAAAGAAACCATGAGTTAAATTAGAGACATTTTAATTTTTAAAAATAATTTACAAACACACCATCGGTAGGCAAATAAACTTGCTGCATCCGCTGACTAAACCAGATATCCTTCAAAAAGGTCATGTAGGAACGTCATTTAAAAACTATACTGAACTTTCCAGTTTACATATAATGTTTTTATAGGAAAAAATGGAAAATTAATCAGATTAGGTCACAAAACTGGATGCAGAAAGTTCAAAGCCATTTTGTATTCTGGCCTATCATAAGATCTCAAAACTGGAAACTTTTAAATATTGCTCATGGTCTTCTCTGCCTCCGTGAATCTCTAAACATTTCACATCCAAGGTTGGCATCAGCTAAATGTCATCTGGTTCATCTTCTCTCCAAATTTGGCAGAATGCTATACTTTGAATTTAGGCTTTGAACTATTTGAATGTACAACAGTTGCCATTTCAGAGATACAGCTCAGCACAAATTTAGCTCACTTGGTTGGGTCACATGAACTTGAATGAAAATCAGAACAACCAAATTCTTTTTCACTATTACTGAAGGGCATCTTGTCCCATTTCCCATTCCAATATGCAAAGTGATTCATTTATCTACAATAAAACCTGTTTGTCGTTCTTAAGTTGTTCAGAGTTCAGTAAGTGCCATCACTCTTGCACTCATTACCTTGTCAAATCTTTTAACACCATAAAGAAGTGAGCTTCTTTGTTTTGTTTGCTGACGTGTGAATCATAAGGCAACCAAGAATAGATTCATATGAATCCCATTAGTCACTGTCTGTCTCTCTTCCTCTCCCCACTCCTCACCCCCTGACATACTCCTTCATTTCTGATTTTGTCTTTAATTTAGTTGGTTAATTTACCACACATTCTGTAAATCTAATCCTGCAAGCGTTCCATATGGAACTTTGTTGAATACTACCTGAAAATTCAACTAGTTCAGACGTTCTGAGTTACACTAATTTGGTCTAATAATTTAGCTACTATGTCAAACATATATACACTATAATTTCATTAAATACAACCTGAAACTGCACACTGGTTGGAGATTTATCTTTAACAAAACTGTGCCCATTCAATATTTGTAGCATTGTATTTTTTTTTCCAATCAAATTGACAGTGATGCACAGGACAGGAACTTAAGAGATCTGCACCATAGTGACAGTTAAACTGTAAAATCTATACAATTGAGTTTTGTCTCATCACATTAAAAATAATAATATGCATCTTTAAGAGACATTTTAATAGAAGTTACTTTTGTTTCATGAAGCCCATGAGAACTTTGTTAGCTGGTTAACACTAATAAATAGCTGGTATTAAAAGGAGACTGCATGCAGATCTGGTTTTTAAAGTGAAAGAATTGACAATGCAGACAGAGAGAGGCATTCTGTGAAATATTAAATAATAAGATTATAATCCAAAGAAACCATGAATTAAATTAGAGACATTTTAATTTTTAAAAATAATTTACAAACACACCATCTGTAGGCAAATAAACTTGCTGCATCACCTGACTAACTAAACCAGATCTCCTTCAAGGAGGTCATGAAGGAACATCACTTTAAAACTACACTGAACTTTCCAGCTTACATGTCATTTTCTTGTAGGAAAAAATGGAAAATTAGTCAGATTGGGTCACAAAACTGGATGCAGAAAGTTCAAAGCCATTTTGTATTCTGGCCTATCATAAGATCTCAAAATTGTAAGTTTTTAAATCGTGCTCGCAGTCTTCTCTGCTTCCGTGAATCTCTAAGCATTTCACATCCAAGGTTGGCATCAACTAAATGTCATCTGGTTCCTCTTCTCTCCTAACTTGGCAGTATGCTATACTTTGAATCTAGGCCTTGAACTATTTTCTAATTTAACAAAATAGTCTTTTGTTCCCACATTCTCATCATACAGCAGAAGCTCTATTGTGTGCAACGCAGACTTCAAGAATTTGATATCATCTGCATTACAGCATTCAAATATTAAATGCACAAAAATAATAAATGACAACTAGATAGTGTAACAATATCCAGTAGACTTGTACGAACTAGAAATCAGCAGGTTATCATACTAATATTTTAACTATTTCACATTGTAACTTTTCTTGCTTGTAATAAAAGTTTATCACCAGAGTTATTTTTCCAGATTCAAATAATGTCAGGCAAAATCTTCCGATTGGAGCTGCTTGGTACTAACTTAAAACAAATGTCCTGGAAATCTGTAATTTTTAAAATACAGGTATGTGAATATAACTGTTTATTTTGCTGTGTTAACTGAGATCCAACTTTAGACATGACTTTTATCACACCCACATGCTGCACAATTCCAAAAATAAATCAAGATTACAATTCCAAAAATAAAAATCTGTTTATTTAATGAATGCGAATCCCCGAAGCCAAGTACCGGCTTCCATATTTGCTGAGTTTACGATGACTAGTCTGCCACAGTTTGCAGTGGGGACATAATAATTAGACATTACAAGATACAATTTGCTTTGGAAACTGGAGAGCTCCGCAGCTTTACCTAACCTCCCAACAGTAAAATTGATGGTCAGCATTCGTATTGCTAGTGTTAACTGGTCTTGTTTGTATGCATCTCCAATTTTAATTATTTCCTTACTTTTATTTGCTGCACACCATGTCCCACCAAACAGCAGCAAATGTGGGGGAAGAAAAGCCACACTCTGCCACTTTCCCACATTTCTGTACATCAATACACATCAATATATGCATCATAACTTTGAAAACCTAAAATAACTCCCTTGGTTACATCAGGTACTTGTGGTTAGATTATATTCACCTTCTTTGTCAGTAAGAACTTCCATTCTTCCACTAAACATTGCCTTTAGCATAGTATCATGTCTGGTTAAAATCTGAACTGTGGTATAGTACAGGGAGCCTCCAACATTTAATCGGACATATTTGTTCCCCGTGCTTCCTCCTTTAAAGCCAAGGACCTTGGGTTTGGCTCCAGAAGATGGGTACAGTGATGTTAAGCAGGTGTCTCCAGACATGTCTTTCTGCAGATAAATGGTGACTCTGCACACAGTTGGCTTAAACTGTCCCGCCGTGATCGTCAAGCCAAGGTCTGGCCACGCTTACAAATGCTCATAACATATGCACCACTGAAAAACAAGGAAAGTCATTTTGTAATGCATGAATAACTAGAAACAAACAGCATCTTGCACTTAATCTGAAAATATGTTTCATTACAGGTTACCTAAGCTATCATTTCTCTAGATATTACCATTATTGAAATTACTAATCTGGTGACTGTCCTTTATGAAATATCTTCAATTCTAGTACTAAAACACAAGATAAGGGAGGGAGTGGGTAATTCAGGCCACTAGTGATCATTATGAAAAACCATTGGTCTTCAATCCTGTTCCCTATGAGGGCTTTCAGATTTCCTCAATTAGAATTCTTTAATGATATACCTGAAATTTTAGTTTTCACGCTTTTGCATTTAGAAAACTTTCAAATACACTTTCAGTAATTGATGACTTCTCTTGTATACAAAACAAAAATTCAATGTAATGGCTGAGGACACAAAGCAATTCAGTACAAATAAAATGTATAATTTTAGAAATTAAGTTTTACAATTCAAATAAATGACAAACTTTACATTTGAATGATACCATAGTAAGATGGTTGCTTGGAAGATTGAGTTTCAATTTAAAGTTGCTGGTGACATAGACCAATTTCTCAGCTGAACTTTCTTGAATAATTTGCTGACTGCTGTGGATATTTTTAAAAAATCTCAGGATGTGGATGCCACTGCATCTATTGTCCACTGTAATTCTCCTCTAGAAAGAGATGGTAAGCTACCTTCTTGAGTCCCGGCAAGTGTAAAAATTTTACGTTAGGCTATTCCATAGCGCGGTTAAGAGTCAAGCACGTTGCTGTGATACGGAGTCTCCTCACAGATCAGACTGAAAGGACAAAAAAAACCAAATGGCTTGTACAGTAAACCAAGATCCAGTATTTATAGTGTGCACTGATGGTGGAGGCAATGAATATTTAAGGTGGTGGGCGGATGTTGTTTCTGGGGCTTTGCTGTGTGCAAATGGCTGCTACATTTCAACAGTGTGTTCATGTTAAAAGTATCAGTATTCTAAGTTTCCCTGAGGTTATGAAAAGCTCAAGGTAAATACAAACTTTTAGTGATTCTTTGTTTGAATCTTGCGAATAAATTAAAGTCAAGGTTAGCTTTTCATGGGGCACTGCTCTTGGTCTGAGAATATTTGGGCCATGGAACAAGTAAGCAAGATTTTTTTGTTCTGTTTACTATTGAATCACCTTTTAGATCAAGGACAGTATTTGATGTCAGTAATGTTCTATACAAACAGAAAGTCTGGCAATACATAAGTTTATATCTGGACATGGATTCTTTATTACTCTTGAAAGGAAACAAAACCCATAATTATGGGGAGGGAACAAAAGAGGACAGTACACTTTTATTCTGAACTTTGCATTCAATGCAATTAGTAACGTCCTTCCACACTTTTTAAATGAATTGGTGAGTCAGACTGACAGTTCAGCAAGATTTCTCAAGGTTGAAACAAATATTTAATCATGCTGAGAACAGCCTCGTACACTCTTTGAAAATTCAATTACACCCACACAACAGAAGGCTGACAAAGATGCAAGTAAACGGGTAGATTTAAAAAAAAAATTATTGGGCAGAAAAACATAGCTTTCATTGATCTAACATATCACACAACCAAATGTAAACATTGTCTTAAAAACCTGCATCTGCTCCTTCCTATAAAGTAATACTGTATATTTTTCATTAAAGAAATCATACAGGAAAATATCCCAGTGGTTCCTGTACAGTACAGTAGTGTCCCTACCCCTGGACTCAGAGGTCCAAGTTCAAGTCCCACCTACCCTAGGAGTGTATAAGAACATCTCTGAACAGGTTGATTAAAAAAAATTAATTAACCTTTTTTTCTATAGAATATTTAAGATATTGCAATTCTTTTAGTTCAGCTCTGTAAATCGGAAGTAAACATACGCCGTACTGCCTCTACAGCACAGAATGAACAGCATTAGACCTCATTAACGGTATTTGGTAAAAACAATGTGACTTCCTGAAACTTAAAAAAAAACATTAGATTAAACACAGGACAAGGTGCTGAGAGACTTCACAATAGAATGCACTGCAGAAAAATGTTGTCTTTTAGTTCTGATCTCCTGTTTAGTTTTAAATGCAAATCATTGTTATGCCAGGAGTCAGAGAAAATGAGTGAGATTCTTAATGAGTACTTTGTGTCGGTATTCATTGAGGAAAAGAACATGACAGATGTTGAAGTTAGGGATAGATGTTTGATTACTCTAGGTCAAGTCGGCATAAGGAGGGAGGAAAGTGTTGGGTATTCTAAAAGGCATTAGGGTGGACAAGTCCCCAGGTCCAGATGGGATCTATCCCAGGTTACTGAGGGAAGCGTGAGAGGAAATAGCTGAGGCCTTAACAGATATCTTTGCAGCATCCTTGAGCACGGGTGAGGTTCCGGAGATCTGGAGAATTGCTAATGTTGTCCCCTCGTTTAAGAAGGGTAGCAAGGATAATCCAGGTAATTATAGACCGGTGAGCCTAACGTCAGTGGTGGGGAAGCTGCTGGAGAAGATACTGAGGGATAGGATCTATTTATATTTGGAAGAAAATGGGCTTATTAGTGATAGGCAGCATGGTTTTGTGCAGGGAAGGTCATGTCTTACCAACTTGATAGAATTCTTTGAGGAAGTGACAAAGTTGATAGATGAGGGAAGGGCTGTAGATGTCATATACATGGACTTCAGTAAGGCGTTTGATAAGGTTCCCCATGGTAGGCTGATGGAGAGAGTGAAGTCGTATGGGGTCCAGGGGTACCAGCTAGATGGACAGAGAACTGGCTGGGCAACAGGCGACAGGGAGTTGTAGTGGAAGGGAGTTTGTCAAAATGGAGAACTGTGACCAGTGGTGTTCCACAGAGATCCGTGTTGGGACCACTGTTGTTTGTGATATACATAAATGATCTGGAGGAAGGTATATATGGTCTGATTAGCAAGTTTGCAGATGACACTAAGATTGGTGGAGTAGCAGATAGTGAAGGGGACTGTCGGAGAATGTAGCAGAATATAGATAGATTGGAGAGTTGCGCGGAGAAATGGCAGATGGAGTTCAATCCAGGCAAATGCGAGGTGATGCATTTTGGAAGATCCAATTCAAGAGCGAACTATGCGGTAAATGGAAAAGCCCTGGGGAAAATTGATGCACAGAGAGATCTGGGTGTTCAGGTCCATTGTACCCTGAAGGTGGCAACGCAGGTCGATAGAGTGGTGAAGAAGGCATACGGCATTCTTTCATTCATCGGATGGAGTATTGAGTACAAGAGTTGGCAGGTCCTGTTGCAGTTGTATAGGACTTTGGTTCCAACACATTTGGAATACTGCGTACAGTTCTGGTCGTCACATTACCAAAAGGATGTGGATGCTTTGGAGAGGGTGCAGGGAGGTTCACCAGGATGTTGGACAACAAGGTGCAGAGCTGGATGAACACAGCAGGCCAAGCAGCATCATAGGAGCAGCATGGAGGGCGCTAGCTATGAAGAGAGGTTGAGTAGATTAGGATTATTTATATTAGAAAGACGGACGTTGAGGGGGGACCTGATTGAGGTCTACAAAATCACGGGGGGTATAGACAGGGTGGACAGCAAGAAGCTTTTTCCCCAGAGTGGGGGACTCAATTACTAGGGGTCACGATTTCAAGGTGAGAGGGGAAACGTTTAAGGGAGATATGCATGGAAAGTTCTTTACGCAGAGGGTGGTGGTGCCTGGAACGCGTTGCCAGCGGAGGTGGTAGAGACAGGCATGATAGCATCATTTACGAGGTATCTAGGCAGATACATGAATGGGCAGGGAGCAGAGGGATACAGATCCTTGGAAAATAGGTGACAGGTATAGATAGAGGATCTGGATCGGCGCAGGCTTGGAGGGCCTAAGGGCCTGTTCCTGTGCTGTAATTTTCTTTGTTCTTTTGTTCAATGTGGACAAAAGAACCTCAGGCATTAAATTCATCCAACTTTTCATCTGGAATTTTTAAAAAATGATGGGTGATTTAATGAAATATATCAGATTCTCAAGTAGATAGTGTGGATGTTAAGTTGATTTGTCCCCTAGCGCAGATGTATTTGGGGTCAGCTATTTACAACTGATGAGAAATTATTTTCTTCTGCTCTGGAGGACTTATGTTTCTGATAATTAATGATCACAGATTTCTTAAAAAGAGTACATCATAAAATTGCATGATGGACAATGAATTTTGGAGTGATTATCCATAACACAATATGGTCACCATGCATGCACAGATGCAGCTTGGTACACCACTTAGCTACAACAGGAAAAGTTGTAGGAGGCACCTGTGTACACGTCATAATTCATGTGTAGGGGTTGGGCAACCTATACTTGGAGCAGTGCAGTAAGAGACAAGACCCCCACCTAACATTCTCTAGCCACTGTGTTGCCTTTTCCTAGATCCAAACAGTGCTTGCTGATGCTGTGTCCGTGGCAGCTCCACGGCATCAGGTGGCAAGACCTTGAATTTTGAAAGATAAAACCTTTATGCTTTTATTAGCTCTAGCCCCTGAGCCTTAATCACTTCTGGCTGGAACTTATGTCAATAGCAGTGTGGAAACTGCCTTTGCCTCCTCGATCAATCCAAAATTAAGCCCTCTTCACACCTGCCACTCTTGGTACCACCTACTGGTGACAGGATTTGCAGCCATTGAATTTATGGCATTCCAATTTCCTACCTCTTAACCCCTCCCTCAGGTCTACAGTTTTACTCAGATCCCAAATCAATTTAAGTATGAAACTAGACACTGATACTTTGAGATAATGTGTTTATTTACAAAATGCAGCATTCTGTTATGTCTGCTTTTGACCTATAAATCCAGTATCTCAGCAGTCACTATACTATTTTGATCAAACCAAATTAAACTAACTAAACATATGACAGCAGTGCTCCTAGTACATAAATAAACAATGTGTTTCACTGTATATCTTGGCAATACAATTAAAATACCATTAATGTACAACCCCTCCCTAGAACATAGCACTGGAAAATCTGCTAGCACTCAGTTCATCTCCATGCTCCCAAAACCATTCATCCCTTCACCTTCCTCAGCCACATTTTTGACTAAGCTTTTCGTCACCTCTGTCATTGCCATCCAAGGGCTGTGTTAATTTTTGTATTATGATTATGCATCTGTGTAACATCTCAGGCCAAGTTCAAAGTTAAAAACTTCCAAAGCTATGAGTTCAAATAGACGCTAGGAATGAAGCATTCAAGAATAAATTGAAAGTTATACACTCATCTGCTGCTTCAAATTCAATTATGTTAACTATCTAGAAGACAGTATGCAAGTTTTAAATTCTAATGAGAAAAAGTACTTTACATTCTTGGCATATTCAAATATGTGTTAAAATACCAAACCACCCACTAAATGAATTGCATTCTTGAACAGAATAAATACTCTGCAGACTTCCAAACCCATCGCCATAACTTAGGTTCATGAGAAAGGATTCTCAAACTTCAGTCCAAAATTTGAGAATTTAAGCATTTAATCTACAGTGAAATACCACCACTTTCAATTGTACTTTAAAATGTGCTACCTGGTCGGTTAACAATAAAATCAAATATTTTATTGAAGAGACAATAGTATCACAACGGATAACAGGAAATGGAAAAAATCACAGGTGTGATAAGCCAAATGAAATCTAAGCTGAAAAAATGTGTGTCAATACAGTGGAGAAATAGTAGTATTAAAACCATTAATCATTGCAGAAATACATTCCAATACTGATTGACATTCTGCTGAAATTGATCAATGTTCTTACAAAGTTATCTGAGGGAGAAATATTGATAACAAAATCAAAGCAATGCAGTATTAAGTGTCTCAACAGATGGCATCAAGTTCATTGCTAACAACAGTAGATTGGAAATTCAGTCAGTGTGGAAATTTACGTTGTACTTGAGAGAAACAAAGCAAAGACAAAATAAAAGCCAAGTATTTTACTATAGCCATCTCACCATTTGATAATTTCCTACCATAGCAGGCAATTTTGTACTCAAACTAAAAATGATTTATTTCTTTAAGGCCAATCAGTAAATTTAAATGCTTGCTTTATATAACATACCATTTTAATATAGTAACATGTTCCAAAGCACTTATTTCACAGCAGAGCCAAGAAACAAAATTTGATACCAAGCCACAAGAATTTGAGGGCAGATGACCAAAAGCTTGGACAAAGCAGTAAGTTTAAGTGTAGTAAAAGAGGAAAGACAAATAGCAACACAGAAATCTTTAGGGAGGGAATGAGGCTTGGACTGGGTAAGATATAGTCACCAACAATAGAGGAACTAAACTTGAGAGACCAGAGTTTGAAGATTGCAGAAGTTGGAGAAGCTGGAGGAGATTGCACATGGCATTAGGTCCATGGCAAATGCCATTTTCCTGTTCCTACATTTATCCTTGAAACATGTGGATAACAAGGACACTTACATCAAGCTCCTATTTATTGACCTCAGCTCCACCTTGAATGCCATAATTTTAACCAAACTCATCTCCAAACTCCGAGACCTAGGACTCTGCTCGCCTGTCTGCAACTGGATCTTTGACTTCCTGACCTGCAATCAGTAAAGATGGGCGTCAAGACCTCGATGATAATACTCAACACCAGTGCTCAGCAAGGCTTAGCCTCTTATTAAACTCCTTATGCACACACGACTTTGTGGCCAAATTCATCTCTAACTCCATTTACATGCTGACACCACCATAGTAGGTCAGATCTCAAACAAAAACAAGATAGAGTACAGGAAAGAGATAGAGAGCTTAGTGGCATGGTGTAAAGACAACAATCTCTCTGTGTCAGCAAAACAAAACAGCTGGTCATTGACTTCAGGAAGCGGAGTGGAGGACACGCCCCTGACTGTATCAATGGTGCCGAGATGGAGATCGTTGAGAACTTCAAGATCCTAGGAGTAAATATCATCAACAATCTGTCCTGGTCCAGTCATATCAATGCTATAGTCAAGAAAGCACACTATTGCCTCTACTTCCTCAGAAGGTTAACGAAATTCAGCATGTCCACAATGGCTCTTACCAATTTTTATAGATACACCATAGAAAGCATCCTATTCAGACGTATCACAGCTTGGTATGGCTCTTTCCAAGACCACAAGAAATTACACAGAGTTGTGAACGCACCCCAGTCCATCACATAAAACAGCTTTCCTTCCATTGATTCACTCTAAAATTCCCACTGCCTCAGAAAAGCAGTCAACATAATCTAAGACCCCTCCCACCTCTTCCATCAACAGAAGATGCAAAAGTTTCAAAACATGTAACAACCGATTTAAGAACAGCTTCTTCCCTTCTGTTATCAGACTGATGAATGGACCTCTCATAAATTAAAGTTCATCATTCTCTGCATCTTCTCTTCAGTTTCAGTAATGTGACAAAAATAAATAAAATAAAACTAAATTAAATAAGATCAAAATCAGATAAGGAAGGACAAGGCGGTGGCAAAATCTGAAACCAAAGATGAAAACTTCAAAATGTAAGTATTACTTAACTGGATCCAATGTTGATAAGTGAGCAGAGTTGATACTGAAGGGGATTTGGTACACATACAAGTTTTGAAGGGTAAATCATGAGAAGCTGAAACACATTGGAATAGCTGTGTCTAAAGGTAGCAAACACATGCATTTGTTTCAGCAGATGAGCTGAACCACAGTCAGGGGTGGAAACAGGCAGTCTTTGTTTGGGACTCTTATATTGAGGTCAAATTCAATACAAAGGTTTGAAATGATCAGATTCAATGTCAGACAATTACTGAAGATAGGAATGGAATCAGTACCAAAGGGGCTGAAAGCAACAAAAGCTGAAGGCTTCTTTGGTCTTTCCAACATGAGAAGAAATTTCTGTTGTCGAATACAGTCTTGGTCTTTTAGAAAGTATTGGTGAGGTAAAGGGGAAAACTCGATGAAACCAATGCAACCTTGGAAATAACAAGGTGCAGGGCTGGATGAACACAGCAGGCCAAGCAGCATCATAGGAGCAGAGAGGCTGACGTTTCGGGCCTAGACCCTTCATCAGAAAAGGGGGAGGGGAAGGGGGTTTTGAAATAAATAGGGAGAGAGTGGGAGGCGGATAGAAGAGGGATAGAGGAGAGGATAGGTGGAGAGGAAACAAACAGGTCGAAGAGGCGGGGATGGGGCCAGGAAAGGTGAGTGTAGGTAGGGAGTTAGGAAGGGGATAGGTCAGTCCAGGGAGGACGGACAGGTCAAGGGGGCGGGATGAGGTTGGTCGGTAGGAGATGGAGGTGCGGCTTGAGGTGGGAGGAGGGGATAGGTGGGAGGAAGAACAGGTTAGGGAGGCAGGGACGAGCTGGACTGGTTTTGGGATGCGGTGGGGGGAGGGGAGATTTTGAAACTTGTGAAATCCACATTGATACCATTGGGCTGCAGGGTTCCCAAGCGGAATATGAGTTGCTGTTCCTGCAACCTTCGGGTGGCATCATTGTGGCACTGCAGGAGGCCCAGGATGGACATGTCGTCTGAGGAATGGGAGGGGGAGTTGAAATGGTTCGCGACTGGGTGGTGCAGTTGTTTGTTGTGAACCGAGCGTAGGTGTTCTGCAAAGCGGTCCCCGAGTCTCCGCTTGGTTTCCCCGATGTAGAGGAAGCCACACCGGGTACAGCGGATGCAGTATACCACATTGGCAGATGTGCAGGTGAACATCTGCTTGATGTGGAAAGTCTTCTTGGGGCCTGGGATGGGGGTGAGGGAGGAGGTATGGGGGCAGGTGTAGCACTTCCTGCGGTTGCAGGGAAAAGTGCCGGGTGTGGTGGAGCTGGAGGGGAGTGTGGAGCGGACAAGGGAGTCACGGAGAGAGTTGTCCCTCCGGAAAGCAGATAAGGGTGGGGAGGGAAAGATGTCTTTGGTGGTGGGGTCGGATTGCAGATGGCGGAAGTGTCGGAGGATGATGCGTTGGATCCGGAGGTTGGTGGGGTGGTACGTGAGGACGAGGGGGATTCTTTTTTGGTTTTTATTGCGTGGACGGGGTGTGAGGGATGAGGTGCGGGAGATGTGGGAGACACGGTTGAGGGCGTTCTCGACCACCGAGGAGGGGAAGTTACGGTCCTTGAAAAACGAGGACAACTGAGATGTACGGGAGTGGAATGCCTCATCCTGGGAGCAGATGCGGCGGAGGCGAAGGAATTGGGAATAGGGGATAGCATTTTTGCAGGAAGGTGGGTGGGAGGAGGAGTATTCTAGGTAGCTGTGGGAGTCGGTGGGCTTAAAATGAATATCGGTTTCTAGGTGGTTTTTTTTCTGAGGAATGGGAGGGGGAGTTGAAATGTTTTTTTTTCTGAGGAATGGGAGGGGGAGTTGAAATGTTTTTTCTGAGGAATGGGAGGGGGAGTTCTGCCTACGCAACCTTGGAAATATCCAGCTTCAACCTAAACCAATGGCCTAGCCTACTTAAACAATTCAGTTAGAGCTCTCAGATTTGGGGGGAGTTTGAGGGAGTTCCACCCTCTACGATCATTTCTTCCAGCTGCCATGAGGAGCCTGAACTCGCTTCTGTTGAGACGGTCACTGACATCTCCCTCTCTTTATCGACAATCGCTCAGTCCGCTTTGGTGAACTTTGTTCTCACAACATCGTCCAAAGTGAGTGAGTTTGTACGTTAAAACCCTCCCCACCCCCGAAGTAGGCCCAGTACCTGCAACAGTTGCCGTGCCGACCAACCAAACCGCCTCCGCTCCTCCTTCACTTCCGGCGCAAGGGCATTTGCACGTGACTTCGACCCCGTCGGTACTCGTCTAACTGCGCACGCGTGCAGGCCATAAGCCGGCTCCCGATTTACTGCGCACGCGCGCAGATATTTTTCCCGCCGCTGTCTTTCACTTACATGGTTCAGTCAAAGTGCCGTCCAATCGCCCAGGCCATCTCACCGATAAATGATCATTTAATACAACAAACAGCGAAGATTCGATTGCTTCAACCGCTATGTTATGTTGAAGTGAGATTTCTTTTTAAATCCTTCTGTATACTATACTCTGGACAGACGGCAAACTAAAGTTCTTCACCTTTCCAGAATCTGTCTGGTAAGAGAGATCAAAAATAAAGAAATGTTGCAGAAACCCCCACTACTTTGAGAGACTGAGGGAGATTTGATATTGAGCACGCACGACGTTCGTGGGCGCCCCGCCCCCTGTGGCCGCGCATGCGCAGCAGGGCGGAGAGAGCCGTCACTGTCGCCGTGGCAGTGCGAGGGGGGACGAGAGGGCACAGTTGATTCTGATGGCGATGGAAGCCCTCGGGGAGGCCGGCCTGCACTTCGACGAACTCAACAAACTAAGGGTCCTGGACCCTGAGGTGGCGCAAAGTACAATAGAACTGAAGGAGGAGTGTAAGGACTTTATAGAAAGTAGGTGCGGAGCCGGATATCTGTCACGGTATGGGTTGGGGGGGACGGCGGTGCGGCGAAGGATGGTGAGGAAAACTAGGATAGAAAGAACATGTACATTATACAAAGCCTCTCACCAGCTCGGGACTTCTCGATTTTTCGGTGGCCAATTGAGTACTTCTTTGCTTAGGACTTGTAATTATGTGGGGAACATGGAAAATGCTTTGTACACAACAAGATCCCACAAAATGGCAAATTGTTGGTTGAGAGGTAACTGTCGGAAAGGATTACTGAGAGCTTTGCCCTGTTCTTCGAAATGATGCCATGGGATCATTTGTATGGAATTGAGAGGGCCAACTGAGCATCAGTTTAAACACTCATTTGAAAGATGACATCTCTGACAGTGCTCCCTTTGTACTACAGTGGGCCATTAACCTAAATTAGGCCTTTCTCCCGATCCCAACTCTTGTCAAATACTTACTATCCATTCTGACCTTCTGTTCTCTAAACGTTCTGTATTCAGAAAAGGACTTCGTTTTACAAATTGTGTCCCTACTTCAACAGCACAACATGACATTAAATTCTTCTGCCGTTGTCTTTGCTTCTATGCCCATTCATTTGGACAAGAGTCCTATCCCTGACCAATAGACATCCCTTCGCCTGCCTCCAACATGCTGCCTCCACTTGGACCCCTTCCTATTGCCTTTTACCAATCTGCACTTGACCTGTTTGTTGAGAGCTTTTGACTGACATCGGCTGCCTTTACTTCAATCCCCCATCCAGTCAAACCTATCTTCCTCTGAACAGACTGCACTCCTCACTTTTTGATCCAACCCTGACTTTGTAATCGTTCCTGCTGACAAGGGTGGTGCTTTTGTTGGTGAATCCGAGACTTAGAAGAGGCCTCTGCTCCTATGATGCTGCTTGGCCTGCTGTGTTCATCCAGCCCTGCACCTTGGTGCTTTTGTTGTCTGGTCTATTGACTAATATATTGTGGAGGCTGAATGCCAGCTCCCAGACACCACTAACTATTTTCCGTGGGCTACAGTGCCACCATCAAACGTCAGGCTGTTATTATTAGCCATACAATGGTTATTAATCTCATTTTATCTGGGGATTCCACATACATGCAGCCTCCAAGCTCATAGCCCATCAACCCTGTACAGCCTGCTTCTATCTTCATAGAATCCATTTGGCTCAACAGATGTTACAAAGTTTTATAAAAAGACAGAACTAAAGGTTCTATCTGATTGTATTTTGTTTCTCTATTCATTTCGTAGAATCCCTACAGTGTGGAAACAGGCCCTTCAGCCCAACAAGTCCACACCAACCCTTGGAGCATCCCACCCAGACCCATCCCCCTATAACCCACCTAAGCTACACATCCCTGAACAGTACGGGTAATTTAGCATGGCCAATCCACCTAACCTGCACATCTTTGGACTGAGAGAGGAAACCGGAGCACCCAGAGGAAACCCACGCAGACACGGGGAGAATGTGCAAACTCCACACGGACAGTCGCCCGAGGGTGGAATTGAACCCGGGCCCCGGGCACTGTGAGGTAGCAGTGCTAACCACTGAGCCACCATGCTGCCCCAATGGGATGTGGGATGTGGGTATCGCTGGCTGGCCAGCATTTCTTGCCCATCCCTAGTTGCCTTTGAGAAGGTGGTGGTGAGCTACCTTCTTGAACTGCTACAGTCCTCCTGCTGTGGGTTGACCCACAATGCTATTAGGGAGGTAATTTCAGGATTTTGACCCAGTGACAGGAACGGCGATATATTTCTAAGTCAGGATGGTGAGTGGCTTGGAGGGGAACTTGGAGGAGGTGGTGGTGTTCCCATATGTCTGATGCCCTTGTCCTTCTAGATGGAAGTGGTCATGGGTTTGGAAGGTGCTGTCTGAGGATCTTTGATAAATTTCTGTAGTGCATCTTGTAGATGGTACACGCTGCTGCTACTGAGCATCGGTGGTGGAAGGAGTGGATGCTTGTGGATGTAGTGCAATCAAGCAGGCTACTTTGTCCTGGATGGTGTCAAGCTTCTTGAGTGTTGTTGGGGCTGCATTCATCCAGGCAAGTGGGGAGTATTCCATCACAATCATGAATTGTGCCTTGTAGATGGTGGACAGGAGGTGAGTTACTTTCTGCAGTATTCCTAGCTTCTGGTCTGTTCTTGTAGCCACTATGTTTATGTGGTTAGTCCAGTTGAGTTTCTGGTCAATGATAACCCCCAGGATGTTGACTAGTGGGGGATTCAGTGATGGTAACACCATTGAATATCAAGGGATGGTGGTTAGATTGTCATTTATTGGTGATGGTCATAGTGTGGCATTTGTGTGGCATGAATGTCACTTGCCACTTGTCAGCGCAAGCCTGGATATTGTCCGGATCTTGTTGCATTTGAACTGCTTCAGTATCTGAGGAGTCACGAATGGTGCTGAACATTGTGCAATCATTAGTGAACATCCACACTTCCGACATTATGATAGAGGGAAAGTCATTGATGAAGCAGCTGAAGATGCTTGGGCCGAGGACACTACCCTGAGTAACTCCTGCAGAGATGTCCTGGAGCTAAGGTGATTGACCTCCAACAACCACGACCATCTTCCTATGTGTCAAGTATGACTCTAACCACTGGAGAGTTTGCCCCCTGATACCCATTGAATTCCAGTCTCGCTAGTGCTCCTTGATGCCACACTTGGTCGAATGCAGCCTTGATATCAAGGGCTGTCACTCTCACCTCACCTCTGGAATTCAGCTCTTTTATCCATGTTTGAACCAAGGCTACAAAGAGGTCAGTAGCTGAGTAGCCCTGGCGGGACCCAAACTGAGCATCACTGAGCAGGTTATTTCTGAACAGGTGCTGCTTGATAGCACTGTTGATGACACCTTCCATCACTTTACTGGTGAATGAGAGTAGACTAATGGGGTGGTAATTGGCCAGGTTGGATTTGTCCTGCGTTTTGTGTGCTTGGGCAATTTTCCACATTGTTGGGTAGATACTAGTGTTGTAACTGTATTGGAACAGCTTGGCTAGGGGAGTGGCAAGTTCTGGAGCCACAGGTCTTCAGTACTATTGCCGGAATGTTGTCAGGGCCCAAAGTCTTTGCAGTATCCAGTGTCTGCAACCATTTCTTGATATCACATGGAGTGAGTTGAATTGGCTGAAGACTGGTATTTGTTATGGTGAGGACCACTGGAGGAGGCGAAGATGGATCATCCACTCGGCATTTCTGGCTGAAGATGGCTGCAAATGCTTCTTTTGCTCCTTATCTTTTGCACTGATGTGCTGGGCTCTTCCATCGTTGGGAATGGGGATATTTGTGGAGCCTCCTCCTCCAGTGAGTTGTTTTATTGTCCACCACCATTCACGACTGGATGTGGCAGGACTGCAGAGCTTAGATCTGATCCATTGGTTGTGGGATCGCTTAGCTCTGTCTATCACTTACTGCTTTCGCTGTTTGGCGTGCACGTAGTCCTGTTTGGTGGTTTCATCGGGTTGATACCTCCATCTTTATCTTGTATGTAGCATTTGTATCAAAAAGAAATTGATAGCACACACTGAAATTTATAAATATGACATATCAACCATCATATTGTCCTGAATATTGTGGGCTATATTACATTGAAAAGGAATACGAGGCTAGGTAAATATGGAGAAGGTAGCATTTTAAACAAGGATAGCAGATTAGCAATGGTTAGAGATGACCTATATTCAGCAAATCAGGATGTAGAATCGGTTTGGGTGGATATGAAGAATAGTTTGGGGGTGGGGAGGGGGGGTGGAGAAGAGTCAATAGTGGGAGTCGTCTACAAGCCCCCTAACAGTAACCACACTAAAACCAAGTGTACAAAAATAAAATTTAGGTGCTTGTAATAAAAGGATATCAATAATCATGCTTGATTTTAATCTGCATATAAACAGAAAAAAATTTAGATTGGCACTACTAACCTATATGAGAAATTCAAGAATGCTTTCAAGAGCATTCTTTGAGAATAGCATGCTTTGGAACCAAGTGGAGAAGAGGTTATATTAGATTGTGTCTTGTGTAATGTGACAGGATTAATTAATACATTAGTGTAAAGACCCTCCTAGGTAGCAGTGAATCAGTATAATTGAATTTTTCATCCAGACTTCAAACCACGAGGACATGAAAGCATAGCTAGCTTAAGTGAACTAGCCAAGACAAGATAAAGTCGGCAGAGTTCCAGAGGGCTACAGGGCTGTGCGCTCGTTACAGAGAAACGACTGATCTTGGGTTTAATCTGAGGGTTACCATACCTCAGGTGAGGGGTGCGGTTGAGAAGGCAGGACCTTCATGGTGACCTCAGCCATAAACAAGCCATGCAGTCGACTGAGCTAACTGATCCTCACCAGTAGGCTAGCAGATAGAACAATGGAGATGCTGTGGCAGAAATTAAGGGGGATATTTCAGAATACTCAAAATAAGTCCGTTTCTACTATAAAGAAAAATTCTAAAGAGAAGATCCACCAGCCATGGTTAATTAAAGAGATTGAGAAAGGAATCAAACTTTAAGGGAAAAAAAAATGCTCAATGATGAGTAGCAGATCAGATGGGTTAATAGCACAGAGAGGCCTACTGTGTTTGTGCTGGCCATCAAACGTCCATCTATTCTAATCCCAGTTTCCAGCACTTGTACAAATGTTTCCTCAAATTCCCTCTGAACCTCTTGCGTTTCACTTTAAAACTGTGTCCCCTTGTTCTTGACCCTTGAACTAAGGGGAACTCTGCTTTCTATCCACCTGATACAGCTGTATAAGATTATGAGGGGCAGGGGCCATGTTCTTGATAATGTTCTACAGCTCTATCAAGTTCCCCCCCAACCTTCTTTGCTCCAAAGAAAACAACGTGAGCTTAGCCAGCCTCCCTTTGTAGCTAAAATGCTCTATTCCATGCACCATCCTGCTAATCTCTGTATCCCCTCCAGTGCAATCACATCCTTTCTTATAAGTGTGATGATCAGAACTGCACACAGTACTCCAGCTGTGGTCTAACCAAAATTCTGTACAGCTGCAACATAACCTTCCTGCTCTTATATTCTATGCCTAAACTGATAATAGCAAGTGTCCCATAAGCCACCCTTACTATCCTATAAAAAAGCATCCCAAGATTTCTCTGTTCATCTGAGCTTCCTAGTTCCCTACCATTTGAGTACTATCTTGTCTTGTTCCTTCTTCAAAAGTGCACCACTTCACATCTCATCTGATCCTGAGGATTTATCCCCAGGCCTGCTAAAACTGCTAATACTTCCTTTCAATGCTAATTCGTTCAAGCATATTACCATCCCTTCCCTGATTTCTATACTTGCATCAAACTTTTCCTATAGTGAATACATAAGTTTTCATGATTCTCTAAACTGTCAGTTCAAATTGTCTGTACTGCATCCACCTCTGGTGACTGCAACATGGAAGCGCTTGAAGCAGTGCGGAGAGAAGACACAAGGCCTACCCCCAAATGTCAAAATATTGACTTCGTGAGGAAAGCTAGAAAACCCTGTGCTGTTATTCAGCATTTAAGAGTTGATCTTGTTGAAGTACCTTGGTGTTATGGGAATTGACAATTCCAGGAAATAAGAATAAATAGCAAAGTAAATTTCGTATAATTAGTAAATCCTCAACTAACATCAAAATCGGTCTAATCATTTATATATTGCTGTTTGCCACATGGAAATTGTTTTCACAACATGACAAAGCTTGAGAATTTCTTCATTGGCTGTAAAGCACTTTTAACTTCTGTTTATCATTCTTCATATACTTATGTATCATTGGCGCTCCCCAAACCACTACCTTTTTAACGTGAAAATCAAAAAGAATCTTGCACCTTCTTGGTGTCTTAACCATCGTAGTTGCTTGGGCTACCTGTGACTTTACTTCAATCTTCAGATCAGTGCAGGGTCTTCAATCATTTACAATGACTTTGGATGAAGGGACCAAATGTGTGGTAGCTAAATTTGCAGATGGCACAAAGGAAAGATAGAAAAGTATGTTATGCAGAACTGGTTCACTTGACTTATTCCTGGATGGAAAGGATTATTTTGAGGAAGGTTGGGCCTGTACACGTTGAAATTTAGGAGGGTGAGAGGTGCTTTTATTGACACATATAGGCTTGAGGGGGCTTGCTTGAGCAGATGCTGAGAAGGTGTTTTGTGTCATGAAGAAATCTAAATCAAGGGCTTGCAGCTTAAAAATAAAGGGGTCTCCTATTTAAGACTGAGATGAGACCTTTTTCTGAGGGTTGTTAGTCTGTGGAATTCTCTTCCACAAAGAACAGTGAAGGCTGGATCATTAAATATATTCAAGGCGGAGTTACATACATTTTTGAACATCAGAGGTTATGGGGCAGACAGAAAAATGGAGTGAAGACCACAATCAGTGCAGGCTTGAGGGGTCAGATGGCATGGTCCTCCTAATTCTTGTGTGTCCTTTTATTCTAACATACACCACTCTAACTTGTAACTGCATAACCATTCCTTCATTTGTTGTGTCAAAATTTCCTTTTTAATAGTACTGTGGGTGTTACATGCGCCACATGGACTACACCAGTTCAAGAAGGTGGCTAACCTCCAACTTCTCGAGAGAATCCACAGACGGTCATTGAATAAATTAGCTGCCCTTGTCAGCTGTGTCTCACTGAATAAAAGAAAACTGAACCAAAGAAGGATTTTGGGAGTGGTTACTAAAAGCTTGCTGGGCAGTGGACTTTAAGAAAAGTTTTAAAAACATTAGTGAGAGCTGGAACAGATTTAAAAAGAGAGAATGCTTGAACTTGTGGGGGACTGCAGGTTAAGCCATTGATGAATGAAGGCAGTGGGACATGCGTAAGGGACTAAAGTTGAAGGAGCCCAGTCTTGTACCATTGTTTGTTTAGAAGAATTTTGAAGTGGAGGGAAAGAAAATGCATGAGTGTATGACGTAGAGTTTGAACATTGGAGAACTTGAGCTGGGAAATAAGGCTTGGGAAGATCATCTGGGTACGGTGGATGGGATGAGACTACTGAGGTCTTTTTAATTGAGGTTGAAGGTTTTGACTCAATACATCGAGAACAGAAGGCCACTGGAGATTGGTGATAGATGAGCAAGACTTTGCTTGTGATAACACAGGTGGCAGAGTTTCAAAATGAATCAGTGTTGGAGACTGACTATGGGACTCTTTCCTTTGACTCGGCCTCACCAAAGATATCGATTCAGTTACCTCTAATTAATGCTTCCAGCATGGAATCCCTCACCTTAATAAATCCAGAAAGGAAATTTTATGTTGATTATTTTCATTTGTAGCCTTGCTTCAGTTTTTTTGTAGGGGCTGCTCCTAGATTGTACTTTAACTGCACACCCCTAATGTGTGGGCATCCTGTGCAGGGATGGACAGGCAGTTCAGAGGCACTCCTTGTGGATCAGCACCTGGTTTTGGTCAAAGTGGCCATTAATAGGCCCAGACAGAGGCCTGTGGAGGGGATCATAGTCCCTGACTGTCTGCCCCTCTTTCGCAATTATGTTCACATTCGGGTGTCCATCGAAAGGGAGCCTTTAGAACCGGTTGACACTGCAGGGACTGCGGTGCAGCATCATCCCTGACAATGATAATTTGGTTTAATAAGTTTCTATTCATTTTTTTAAAACAAGGTTTTGTTAGCTGGCTGGTTGCTTTTAGTTACAGCGCCCAACTGGGGGTAGTCAAACTTGAAATTTTACTTGAAAAGAATAGAAAACAAGGTGTCTATCTTTGTAATTTTTAGTCCAAGATAATGCTGTTTGTGTAAAATAAACAGAAGTGGGCTTGCAATATCTCAAATGTTCATTTTCTTGGATGATTTTAAAATAATGAGAAGAGATACTGTACTAATTAAGGATGGAACAGATACCAGATGATTTTAAAAATGCTAACTACAAGCAACGATTGCATTAATTGGCAAAAGAGACAAAATGATGGGGAATTTGTCAATCTGAATTGATTGCAATTTGTAATACAATTGCAGGAAAGCTTACTTTGTGCCCAGTGTATTTAAATAAAGGATTAATAACGTGAGCAACAGAAGGTTTAAATGTAAATTGTAGAACAGTGGAGTAATTATTTGTAAAGTGTTGAGAATGTTCTTGTATTAAACATTCTTTGCCTGCTGCCTTAGAACTAACTTCTACATTTAAACAGTGCACTTCTTTAAGGAAAATACATTGTGAATTGATAACCCAAATTAAGTTTTCTACACTATTTAATGTTAATATGAAGATCAATGGCAGATTGACAATCGAAACATGACCTCCTCATGTTTCCCATGTGTGACGGGAGTGAAATACCGGAAGGATGTGGTTTGATTATTTTGGCTGAATTGAAAGATTGTCTAGACAGGTAAAGTGAAAACCTTTTCACTCATTTGCAGATGATAATTTCGACCCAAGATAAATATCTCTGTGTCTCGTTTCATTTCCCAACAGTGAGTAAAAACAAACACGTTTTGTAATCAGTTGATGAGAATTTATGAACCATAAACAGGCATACCAAAACCTCCCAAGTAGAATTCAACATTTTCCAGATGCCATGCCATTGACAAATTGTCATTTATGTCCTGCTGTAGATCATCAGGAACTCAAGGTATTAATTGTTGAGAAATATTGAACAATTAAACTTGTTTAAATATGTAGAATAGTTTCGGGTAAGAAACTGTAATTTTGGAATTCTGCTTTGGAAAACACATGGGAAATTCATTATGCTGGTGGTTTAGTGCAAGGCTGATATTGCTAGGTATGAAAAAAATAACAAAATTTGTGTGGCAGTGCTTCCATTTCATCGCATGCGAATGCAGTCGATTGTTGTTTTGTACTGGACTATGGATTATTGATTGTTTTGCTTTCAGCTAAATAAGAATTAGTAAAGCTAGTGTTTAAAACCTTGTTGTCATGTATTTCAAATGCAGTATAACTTGGCTGTTGCATTACATCCAGAGATTTAGACAGCAAGGTTGGGTCAAAACAGTGTTAAAGGAACAATAAAGGCAGTAGAAGGGGTCTTGAGGGCAATGGTGTAAGACTTTGATGGTAGGTGTGTCCTGGAGATTTAAAGTTGGATGCACTTTTAGACAAGAACAAAAATTGAATTCTCACTGATTAGGATTCTAACAGTTGATGAACAATTCATGTATTGACATGTCATAGGCAATTATGTTGTATGGTTCTTATGTGAAATTTGGCAATAATTTTAAAATCTTTTTTTCAGAAATAGGCCAGTTCCAAAAAATTGTTGGTGGTTTAATTGAGATAGTCGATCAACTTGCTAAAGAAGCTGAGAATGAAAAGATGAAGGTAATGTTCCTCTAGATGTAATACTGAAATTTGTATACATATGATGGGTACTTAGTGACAGTTGGGAAATGGCAGTGCTATTGACTTTTCAACACTGATTCAAACAGATATTTCACTTTTATGAAGCTTTGAACAATCAGCTAGAATAATGACATTAGATAATTTTTATCCCAATTAGGACTGTACAAGACTGATTATTATGCATTCCCTAAGTAAAATTTTATGGAACTGGTTCCAGCTGGGGTTTGTAAGATAAAATTAATTGCAATAATTACCCATGAAAGTTGATTGTAAACTAAGTTGCTTTGTAATATGGAGAATATATAATGGGGCTAAGGAAAGAGGTATCCACCTTTGTTGTCTGAGGGTACAAAATTCTCTATTTAATGTGGTTGTTGACTTGCTCGCCGAGCTGGCTTGTTCTTGTTCAGATGTTTCGTCACCATGCTATGTGACATCATCAGTGGAGCCTCCGATGAAGCGGTGTTATTCTACTCCGCTTGGAATTTATACTTTTTGGTCCATTATGATGAGTAGTGTCATTTCTGGTTTTGATCTGTATGGGTTTCTATGTGTTTGTTGATTGCATTACGGGTGGAGAACCATGCCTGTAGGAATTCCCGTGCATGTCTATGTTTGGTTTGGGCTACTATTGTTACCTTGTCCCAGTTGAACTGATGGCCTTTATTGAGTGTACCAATATTAAGGAGAGTTTGTCGTGCCGTTCTGTGCTAGTTGAGGTTCATGCATTCTGATGGCTAGTTTCCTTCCTGTCTGTCCGATGTAATGTTTGTGGCAGTCGTTGCATAGTATTTTGTAATGCACGTTGGTTCTGCATGTTGTGGGAATGGGGTCTTTAATCCTTGTAAGTGTTTGTCGTAGAGTGGGTGTGGGCTTGTGGGCAACCGTGATTCCTAGTGGTCTTAGGAGTCTTTTGTCAGTTCCGATATGTTCTTGATGTATGGCAGTGTTTTAGGGCGTACTGTGTCCTCCTGTTGTTTTCTGTTTAGTAGGCATCAGCGGATGAAGTTGCAGGAATATCAGATTATAGCGAGGATTTTGTATAGGTGCCTATACAAAATATATGTTTATTTTATATTTTGTACCACTGTTGTTGACTAAAGAGGTGAGTATGGAGGTTGAAATGTTCATTGTGTCTTAAGCCGTGTGCAAACAGTGTGGAACTTGGTCTAAAAAGCTGAGTCTGTATCAGGTACTGCTGTACACCTGCTGGACCAAGGATTGTAAGAATGCAAGATGAGTCACTAGCCATATTATGTCTTTAAAATCAAAATCCTCTTCGTTTCAAAGTTGGTACACTATTTCCTAGCAAAGGGGATAGCCATTTCTCAGTTACTGGCCAACAGATTGCTCTGAAGTGCTGGCGCAGAATATTTGATTATGACTTCTACAAACCTAATACAAAATCCTCGCTAAAAACGGATATCCCCGCAACATCATTCGCAGATGCCTACTAAACAGACAACAACAGGAGGACACAGTACGCCCTAACACACTGCCATACATCAAGAATATATCGGAGCTGACAGCAAGACTCCCAAGACCACTTGGAATCATGGTGGCCCACAAGCCCACACCCACTCTATGACAAACACTTACAAGGAATAAAATCCCCATTCCCACAACATGCAGAAACAACGTGGTTTACAAAATACCATGCAACAACTGTCACAAACATTACATCGGACAGACAGGAAGGAAACTAGCCATCAGAATGAGTGAACGTCAACTAGCAGCAAAACGGCACGACAAACTCTCCTTAATATCGGTACACGCAGACAATGAAGGCCATCAGTTTCACCGGAACAAGGTAACCAGAGTAGCCTAAGCCAAACACAGACAGGCGCGGGAATTCCTAGAGGCATGGTTCTCCACCTTTAATGCAATGAACAAACACAATGAATTGGACCCCACATTCAAACTCATACAGATCAAAACCAGAAATGACACTATTCATCATAATGGACCAGACAGTATAAATTCCAAGCGGAGTAGAATAACACCGCTTCATTGGAGGCTCCACTGATGATGTCATCTAGCACGGTGATGAAACACCTGAACGAGAACAAGCCAACTCAGCAAGCAAGTTAACAACCTCACCCACAACCTGAGCTACAGATCTTTGCCTAAACTTTGAATCTTTATTTAATGTAATGGAATTGATTCACTTGTTTGCACACTATACCACTGTGCTATGCAGTTGGGAATAGGAATGGTCGCCATTTTGGAGAATCTAATAGAGTAAGGGAAAATAACTGACTCACAGGTTTGTTAAAGATCTCGTAGAGTTTTTGATTATTTCTCTTGTCATCTACAGGCCATAGGTGCTCGAAATCTTCTGAAATCAGTTGCCAAGCAAAGAGAAGCTCAACAGCAGCAGCTCCAAGCTTTAATAGCTGAAAAGAAAATGCAGCTTGAGAGGTTTGTCAGAATCTTGTATCTTTTACTAATACTAAAAGAGAATTGAGCAATTGCCTTGCATTAGTCGCTGTAATGGTACTGTTAAATACAGCCACTCTCCTGCAGTTATATTTTGGTATTGGTGCGTTGTGCACCAATTTATTATATATTTTGTACCACTGTTGTTGACTAAAGAGGTGAGTATGGAGGTTGAAATGTTAATTGTATCTTAAGCTGTGTGCAAACAGTGTGGAACTTGGTCTAAAAAACTGAGTCTGTATCAGGTACTGCTGTACACCTGTTAGACCAAGGATTATAAGAATGCAAGATTAGTCACTAGCCATATTATATCTTTAAAATCAAAATCTTCTTCATTTCAAAGTTGGTACACTATTCCTTGACAAAGGGGATATCTATTTCTCAGTTACTGGCCAACAGATTGCTCTGAAGTGCTGGCAGAATATTGGGTTATGATTTCCAAAAACCTAATTTTCTTTTGCTTCCTTCATTCTGAAAAGCTGTGAGAAATCACAGCAAGCTGAGTCACTTTTTCTTGGCATTTCTAATTTAGAATGAAGTAGAGATTTAAAATTCTAGTTTTGGAGATAGCCTAAGTAGTGATTATAAATAGATCCTCAACATGTTGAAGTTATATAGTGTCTTTAACATTGTCAGCCATTTTGAGGTCCTCACAGGAGAGTAAACACAGACTGCCACTGAGGTAAAGCAAACACGAGGATGACTGACCAAGCACTTAATAAAACAGATTGGTTTTAAGATTATGTGGAGCTAAACAGGTCTAGGGACGAATTGCAGAGTTTAGATCCCAGAAATGTGACCATTAGTGGTGCTGTGAAAGAAGTGAAGCTGCACAACAGGTCAGAGTTATAGGCACAAAAAGTCTTTGGAGATTTCAGGGATGAAGGAGTTTGGACATAAAAATGAGAATTATTTTTGTTGTGTAGAAATGGGTGATAATATACCAACAGTTATATCTGTAATATGAAGATTATTTGACTGGACTAAATCATTTAAGGCCAAAGAAGAACTAACTATTTACATCCAGCTGCACAACCCCTCCTAACTTTATGCAAAACAGTTCTTGCTCAATTTTATCATTCTTATTCTTCAACAACAATAAAAACTTTGTAAAAATAACGTTCTGAATTGAATTTGAGTTGTTTTTTCTCTCAATTTACTACTGTTAACACAGTACTTTAATCTTCCATAATAGAGCTCAACTTACTAAATGCATAAAGTTGCAGCTCTTAGAGTAGATTAATAAATATAGAATCATTTACATAAATCCTACAATCGGTTCTTTCTAGCTGCACTATGTCACAAGATCATTCTCTTTGCAGGTACCGGATAGAATATGATGCACTGTCAAAAGTAGAAGCTGAACAAAATGAGTTCATTGATCAGTTCATTCTTCAGAAGTGAAGTGGGAAGAAGAGACACTAACATGAAGCATTTTAACTGTAATGTTGCAGTGACTATTCCATTATGACATTCCTTCAAACGGTGATTTTACACAATGTGTAATCTTGCATTGCCTTTTCATATTTATTGAATATATATCAAGCAGTTCTTTCTATAATGCAGATTTATACGTGGTTTATTTCGATTACAAAAACAATTTTCAGTGCACAATTGTAATAACTACGTTTTTAGAATGACATTTCCATAAGTATCAAAACACTATAATTCACATGTAAATATTTTGTTAGTTCAGATTATTATATATATTTATGTTATTATTCATAAATAGTTCCTTCAACTTGTGAGACTGTGGTCTATGAATTTTTCACTTGAGTATTCTTTTGTCAGCATTAATAAAACTGTTGAAGCTGCGTCTTATCCCTCTCAGCCATTTCAGGTGATATTGTGTACTACAGGGTTGCCTCTGATATAGTAGATGCTGAAAACAATCTTGCAGCAAAACTAGCCAGAATGTTGGCTTAATATGCAATCCTCAACAGGAAATACAGATATTTGACATTGGGCTGTAAATGGTTTGACTGACCTGTCAACCTGTCTCTTAAAGGAATTAATGTGGTTTCAGTTATAGCTGGCTTAGTCTGACCTACGTCCTCTCTCTCCATCCTCAACACTACAGATGTTTTACGACCTTATCCATGAAGTGGGGGAGATTATTTTAGAGTAACTTCATATATGTGTGGAGTGTATGCATGTTCTGCCCATTGTTAGAGTTCTTGTGATATCGAAGAAACAGATTTGGCGCAGTGCAAAGCAAAATTGCATGTCTTCCCTTTTTTATTATTACTCAATTATATCCATTTCAAAATTAGTTCACCTCAGTTCTGTCTCAATGTAGAAAATTCTAGGAAATATTCCACTGAGAGTCATACAACATGGAAATAGACACTTCGGTCCAACTAGTTCACACCGACCACATTCCCAAACTAAACAAGTTCCACTTGCCTGCATTTAGCCTATATCCCTCTAAACCTTTCCTATTCATGTACTTATCCAAAAGTCTTTTAAATGTTGTAACTGTACCTGTATCCACCACTTCCTCTGGCAGTTCATTCCGACAAGAATTAAAAAAAAAAAGTTGCCCCTCATGTCTTTTATAAAACTTTCTCCTCTCACCTTAAAAATATGCCCCCTAGTTTTGAACTACCCACCCTTGGGAAAAGACCTTTGCTATTCACCTTTTGCTATGCTCTTCATGATTTTATAAACCTCTCTAAGATCACCCCTCAACCTCCTAACCTGAAGTGAAAAAAATCCTAAACTATCCAGCCTATTTTCATAACTCAAACCCTCCATTCCTAGAAATATCCTGGTAAATATGTTTTGAACCCCTTCCTATTGCAGGAAGAGCAGAACTGCACACAGTATAAGAGGCCTCACCAATGTCCCATACAACCTCAACATGACATCCCAACAATTAGAAAGAATGGGAATAAATCTGATCAATTCCCCTTGAGAATAGCCACAAACATGTAGGTTTGAGGATCATGTTATTAGTCTGAATGAAAATTCAGTCACCCTTACTGAAGCAAATTATTAGGATAACTCTTTCACAGCAGTCTTGAGGAAGTTCACTTGTATGCATTAGCGTGACAGGTAATTTAATACACCAATTGCTTCTTTACCAAGGGTAATAGATTCACTTAGTTTTAACCCAGTGGTAAATAAACCGTTCAAGTGACTATTGTAATTAGTCCGATAATGTAAAATGTTGTCTCAAACTAAATGCCTTCCTCATCCAAAATTTTTCAACAGAATTTTATTTAGCTTTGATTATATACTGCAATAGTAATTGAGCTTGAATGCCAAAGTATCTATTTTTCAGTATTTCTCCAATTGTATTACACACTGCGCCTTTACATACAGTTGAACAGCTGTAGAATCTATTTTAATGGGCTTTTTGTTTGCTTAGCGTGTTCACGTTTATTTTTAAATTAAGCAAAGAGTACTTGAGTATCGTACTGTTATGGAAGAACATTCAGCCAACAGTGTACATCTTTCCAGGACTCAATTAATTTTGTAATTTGTCCCAATCTGCCCCCTCTGCTCAGAGACTCTGGAACTGGGAAAAAAAATTTTCTGAATGCTTCAATAAAGTCCATATTTAATGTGCCAAGTAGTCGTTCATTTCATAGCTCTTACTTTGACAGCATTTCTCTGGTGGAAGGGTGAGTAACATATTGTGGAAACAAAAACTAACAGTTTCCACTCGAGGGCACACAGTATCCTGAGGTGAATATGTACCATTGCTCCTTCATGTTTTATTAATCAGAGTTACAGAATGTCCAGCTGAACACGACTGTCAGGATTATAATATTTCAGACAATTAGTTATGGCCAATTAGTATAACATTGTACCACCCATGTCCTAAAGACAAAAGGTTTTCATGTCCGGACTTTGTTGAAAATAACCTTTACCATATCTTCATTATTTTGACTTGAATCATACTAATCTTTAATTTTTCCTTTGCTAGAGAATACATCTAACATTTTTGGCTTCCCTTTATAATTGTGTGGGTACAATTGTTTTCTTTTTGTTGTTTTCCTTTCTCGTAATACTCATTTGCCTGTATCAATACTTTTTTGTCAATGAATGTTGTTGTGTTTGCAACGTCAATATTCTACCAAACAGAATAAAAGCTTTTCCCAAGCTGATCTGATTGGCAAGCAGTGCCAGAGTTCAGTAATGGGCATTGCTGTTATCTCAGGCAGACCTATCAAGAGGGCAGCTGCGGATCCCAGAGCAAGGTAAGTCAGGTGGTTTTAAGAAAGGAGGGTCTGCTACTTTAGGGAGGAACATAGATACAGGAGTGGGCTATTCAGCCCCTTTCAGTCTGCTCTAGATCATGGCGCCTTCTCTACTTCAATGCCATTCTCCCATTCTGTCCCTTGAGGTCAATACAGTCGAGGCCAAAACATTGGGTGTTTTAAAGTGACCAGAGGGTGGTGCATGTATGGAATGAGCTGCCAGAGAAGATGGTGGAAGCTGGTGCAGTTGCAACATTGAAAAGGCATCTGGATGGTTACATGAATAGGAAAAGTTTAGAGGGATATGGGCCAAATAATGGCAAATGGGACTAGATTAATTTAGGATATCTGGTTGGCATGGACGAGTTGAACCAAAGAGTCTGTTTCCTTACTGTACATCTAAGACTCTATGGTAACAGAAATCTATCATTCTTGGTCTTCAGCTTATTTAATAACTGAATTTTCATGGCTGTCTGGGATAGAAAATTACAAAGATTCAGTACTCTGAATGAAGAAGTTCCTCATCTTGGTCCTGAGTGGCTTGTTTTTTATTTTGAAATTGTTCTGTCTCTCTCTCTCTCTTTCTTTCCCCCTCCCCTTCCCCAACTCGCCCCAGTTCTAGATCCCATGAGAACCCTTCTGTCTCTTGTCTATCCCTTTAAGAAGTTTGTAAGTTGCTATGACTTTGTCCCTCACTATTCTTAACTCCAGAGAATTTAGGCCCAGTCTCTGTATATAGGGTACTTTTTAAGTGGAGTACCCACCTTCCTGTTGTTTTAAACTATTTTTAAACTTGCACTTTTACCATAATTTCAAGCAGAGTTCCAGCTATCCCCACATTCTGGCTGAAAACAAATACTCAGATTCCCTTTAAACCTCTTCCTTACTGTAGAAATGTGCCCCTGGTTATTGACCTGTCTACTAAGGAAAAAGCTTCTCCCTACCTATTCTGTGCCCTTCAGACCTTCATACACTTTTAATCAGATCTCTGGTTTAAGGAAAAACAACCCCAGCCTATCGAGTCTCTTTACAGTTGATCTGCCCCAACTCCAGCAACACCCTGATGAATCTCTTATGCATGTTCTCTAGTGCTGTCACACATCCTATAGTGTTGTGATCAAAACTGAACATAGTACTCCAGCTATAGCCTAACTAACATTATATAGTAGGAGGATTCAGCCCGAAGGTCAAGAGGGTCAGGTTCCTTGGAGTGACAATAATCAACAATCTGTCCTGGATCTCCCATTGTAGATGCAACAGGCAAGGATGCACAATAACACTTCTTCAAGCAGCTTAGGAAATTTGGCATGTCCGTAAGGCCCCTTGCCAACTTTTACAGATACACCACGAAAAAGCATTCTATCTGGGTGCATAATGGCCTGGTTTGGCATCTGCTCTGCCCAGGACCATAGGAAACTACACAAAGTTGTGTGCACAGCCCAGACCATCATGGGAGTCAACCTCCCACCCATGGACTCCATTGACACTTCTTGTTGCTGCGGAAAGGCTGCCAACATCACCAAAGACCCCCCTCCCACCCCACTAATGGTCTCTTCCAACCTTTTCTGTCAGGCAGAAGCTTGAACATGCATCAACAAATTCAAGAACATCTTATTCCCTGCCGTTATTAGACTGCTGAGTGGATCTCTAACTTCAAATAATGTTGATCTCGCTTTATGAACCTCCGGTGCAGTGTAACCTGTACACCTCGTTCTGTCCAAGCACACTATGATCCGTATGTTCTTGTTTGCTATGACCTGCCTGTGCTGCTCACAAACCAAAGCGTTTTACTGTTTTTAGGTACATGTGACTACAATAAATATACAGCTCAATTATCTTGCTTTTTTTAATAGCCAACCTGTTCAGAGATGTTACACCTCTGTAGAAGGTGGGACTTGAACTCAAGCTTCCTAGCTCAGAGATAGGCACACAATCCTTGCATCAGAAGAGCCCTCCTGGCTGTTACATTCAGTGGCTTGACTAATAAATGCATCCCATATGCCACTTTCATGCTGCCTTCAAGGATCTACGGGCACACACACTTCTATGATTTGCCTACAAATTTGTCCTGCTATCTCTTACTGATTGGTGGTTTATACACTCGCAGCAATATGATTGTCTCTCTTTTATGTTTATGTTCTACCCAAATGGTCTAATTTGAGGAACCCACTAATTATCATCCCTCCCTGTTGCAGCAGTTCACTCCTTCAGCAATGCTTTGACAACCTCATTCCTCCCTCCCCTGCTGCCAAAATGTCTCACTTGAAGATCTTAAACTCAGAAATACAGAGTTGCCAGTCCTGCCCCCCTCTCTATTATTGCTAACATGAAAACATGATTTTGTTTCCCGTGTAGTAATCAACACTCTCAACTCCTCTCTTGTTACAAGATTACCTGCATTAAAATAAATGCCATCCAGCCATGTCATGCTGTCTTCCAGACTAACTGGTTTTTCCCCTATTCCAGTCTTGAGAATCACCCCCTACTGTATCTTTACTCTGTATCCTACCCCCCGTGCCAAATTAAAACCCAGCAATAGTACTGGCAAACCCACTGCAGAGATTTTGTTTCCATTCTGGACTTACTCCAGAAATGGACCAGTGATATGGGAATCTAAAGATCTCCCTCCTGAACTGACTTTTTAGCTGTGCGTTCACCTGCTCATCCACCTATTCCTATGCTGACTAGCATGTGGCGCTGGGAGCAATCCAGAGATTACAATCTTTGAGGTCCTACTTTTCAATCTGCAACCCTGCTCCCAGACCGGTAGCGGGACCTCATCTCTGCCTGTGTAAAAGTATTTAGGCTGTATTAAATATTTAGATGAACAGCTGAAGATTAGTAACGCCAGAGCAAACAAGGCTACGGCCAAATGCTGGAAAATGGGATTGGAATAGATAGTTACTTGATGATTGGTGTGGACACAATGGGCCAAAGGACCTTTTTCATGCTGTAAAGCTCTATACTCCTATTAATGGCTTTATTGCATAGGCAGATTAATACTGAATTCATCTGAGCTTTGAAACTCGATTAACCCTTAATTGTTTACTTACATACTGTGGGTGGGCTGCTGATTTAAGCACCCACACACCCTCTGTGTTACAGGGATGAACTGGATTGTGATGGGCTAGCACCCAACCTATTCTGTGCCCCGAAGCCAAAAATATACCTGCATGAGCACATAACATCCAGTCTAATAAGTGTTCATCTTCCCACTGGCCAGGTAAAACGATTTTCTGATTGTACAACATGTACCTAGTATGCATTTTTAAAAATTAATTCTGCTCCTGAATAATTGATTGTGAAACAAAATCCATACAAATAATTCAAGCATCAATGATGAATAGTCAAAGTATTGAACAAAAAATTCAGGGCAGAAATCATTTCTCTAAACAGAAGGTGACCTACAGGTTCCAAGCTGGTTGGTTGAGGGCATGAAAATAGGGTCATTTATGAATAGAATCCCCACAGTAATGAAACAGGCCATTCAGCCCAACAATTCCACACTAAGCCTCTGAACAGCATCCCTCTACCCTATAACCCTGCATTTCCCATGGCTAACACACCTAATTTACATATCCCTCAACACTATGCATAATTTAGCATGGCTAGTCCACCTAACTTGCACATCTTTGAACTGTGGGAGGAAACTGGACACCCGGCAGAAACCCATGCAGATACAGAGAGAACACACAAGCTCCGCACAGACATTCACCCGAGGCTAGAATCCAATCCAGGTCCCTGGCGCTGTGAGGCAGCAGTGCTAACCACTGTGCCACAGGAGTTGAAGGTGAACTTCTGAAATCAAATGAGTTAAGAGAGTTCAATCTGTGGTCCTAGGACCACATGTAATTTCTCAGCATTGGAAGTCTAGCCCTCAAAATTCAATGTGACATAGTATGCCTGAATGCTCTATTTGAACTTATTGGCCTAGGCATTTGGGACAGGTTGGTCTTAGCACTTTTGCCTGATTGGTAAATCAGAAGACCAGTATGTGTTAGTGTTAGCAACACAAGATACATATAAATGGATAGGAACGTGGATTTGAACTAGGTGACTCCCTGAATCTCCATGATACGCTCTTTAATGATTCAAAGCAAAATGCTTGAACATTGGAATCCTGTCAATTTTAACTGAAAATACTCCTACTAAACAAACAGCAACACTTCTCTGACAAATCTTCACACACATCTGATATCATTCAAATTTACAATTTTATTGTAGCAATGTTGTCAAATTATTAGACAGTAATTTCAAATAGGGCACTGAAACAAATGGGAAATTACTTTCAAGTGGTAGCAGTTACTGTCTCTTCTTTTCCTCATCAGGATTGTATCTTTTGTTGAAAAGCATAGTTATTAGGATCATA